TGAGGCGAGGAGCGGGCCAGGCCGGTGTCGTGAGGCGAAGGGGTGTCCGGGCCGCGCGTGGGTCCCGTGCTGCGCGACCCGGCGTCCCCCTGGCCCGGGCGGTGCCTCAGGCTGTCCCCGGCCGCCTCTGTCCCCGTTGCCGCCTCGGGGTCTCGCAGCCCGGCGGGGCCGAGGCTCTCTGCTCCCCAGGCTCTGCCCGCTCCAACGGGAAACTGAATCCCTGCCGAATCCGCTCGGAACGAGCTGTGTTTTCTCAGTGTATTGAGTCGCGTGCTTGTTGCCAGTTGTCACGAGAGGCTTTTCATCCAGGTGGGTAGCTAATTCGGTCAGCCTTGTTCTACGGCGTTAAACTGCTTCCGAGTGTAACCAGATAGAAATGGCACCGATTTCCCCCCGGGGGTTGGAGGGCAGACGCTGGTCCCTGTCGCCTCGGGCCCAGCCTGTTTCTATTCGGCCGACTCTTGCGGTGCCTTTGGAGCCCCGTCCTGCAGCCAAGGACCTGCCGGTTCCTGGGGACGCCGGGCAGTGTGTGCTCCCGTGTCCCCACGTTCCCGAGCTTCAGGGACACTGGCAGAAACGGCCTGGAGCAGCGTGGCCGCCCGGGCCCGCAGGCCGCGTGTGCTGGCTCCTTCCCGAGTCCTGTTTGTGGATCCGTGTGTCTGCCGCAGGAGACAATTCCATGTTCCTGTCTCAAACGGGGTGATAAGACCGTGCAAAAACATCCTGGCCCATCTTTGACAGCGCAAGCATGAGGTAACGGGTAAGCCCAGGGCAGATCTTAACAACCCTCAGCAGGTTCATTGAACTTATCCGCCCTCCTGCTGGCATCCAAAGTATCCTAGGGCAAGGCATTCCGCAGCTTAGTCAAGTGCTGTGGCAAGAGCTGCTTTCTTTAGGTTGTTTTGGTTATTTTGGGCAGATGTTGTGGGTATCACCTTCCTTGAAAGGCAAGAGTCTTGTGCTGGATATGCGAAGTGCTCCAGTGTGCTTTTAGTAGCAGTTTCAAACAATTCGCCCTCTTCCAAACTGCTTTTCTCCTCAACTTTTGTGGCATGCTCTGTAGTTTTTTGTGTCTTTGAGCATGTCTGTGCCATCTTTTACAAGCAGACACATCCTTGCTCCGGTATGTTCAGTTTGTGTGTGCTCATAAAGAAGAAATCCTTTTACCACAGGCACTTTCTCTTATTCCGTCTGTAAATTCCAAGGATGTGTGGGGCAACTTTAAGATTTATACCTAAAGCCTCACTGCTGCACAGAAAGTAATTTTTTGTTCATTTGGTTTACAGAAAACAGTCACAAATATAAACAGTCTCTCACAAATTAATTCAGTGCATATTTCACAACATTTTATAACATCCCCAATGTTTATATGTATACGTTAACAGCATATAAACATACACCCTACGGATACTTTGCCTTAGATGCCAGTACTTAGCATGTCAGGATTTGCTTTTGCACGTTGTAAGGTAGCATTTTAGGATGGGGAGATGGGGAACTGAACTTTGTTCTGTCCCTGTCAAAAATGCAGGGACAATCCAATGTCCCCCCTTGCTTTTAGGGTGACTCACAGGGATTTCTTTTCCTGGTACCGGTAGCAGTTGTGTCTGCAACATGATCTTTGCCATTTCACTATAGACTTAAGGAAACCTGAATCTGAATGATGTTTTGTCTTTCATTGGCACACAAGTGGGGATCTGAAGGGATTATTTTATGAGGAAATAATGATTTTTTTTTAAATAATTTTTTAAAGTTGTTTGTCTGAACCAAGTGTTTGTGTATAGGAACTGTAATAATTGGGAGAGCTTGCATTCCCTAAATGTCATGGGCAGGAGATATTTTTAAGTGATCCAGAGTTGGGGAAAACCTGAAGTACCCACAAGGGACACAGGTAGAAGAAAGTCCTTTTCCCTTTCAAAGCAGCTTTCTATGTGTTAAAAGTGACACAAGGTCTCCCTTTAGCCACCTCTCTGGACTAAACATGCTCAGCTCCCTTTCAAAGCAGCTTTCTATGTGTTTTAAAAGTGACAAAAGGTCTCCTTTTAGCCACCTCTCTGGAGGTGGAATCCCAGCTTTCCCCACAAAACTTTTTTTTTTCCTAGACTTTCTCTGGAGTGTCTTAACTGCTTGGCATAATTATTAAACTCAAAAATAGTTGTTTTCAACTTGCATATTTAGTTTGGGGGGGAAACAAAACAGGCTTATGTGCTCCGAAGTTGTCTATTTTTTCCAGCTATAGCAGTTGTCCTAATAAAAGGAATTCCCTCATCTCGCAAAAAACCTTTATCTTATTTGGAGACACAATCCCCACTTCAGCAGCTCTGCTCTTGTGACAAACTGTGTGTCCTGTCCCCTTTCCGTGCCCTCTCGGTTCCAGCCCGTGCCTTGACTCCTCTGGCTTGTCCTGGCATGCTCCTGTGTGTTTCTGTCCGTGCTTCCTGTGTTTTGAAGCTCGGGAGAAACTCATGACTTAGTCAAACCACTTTCTTATCATTCTTCCTGTCCTCTGCATTAGGAGAGTTTAGCTCATTCCCTTATATTATTTCTCCAAGAATTGCAAGGGTTTTATTCATTCTTTCTTTCTTTCTTTGTGAGACTCTTTAATATTTTACATGCCACATGGAGGATAATAGGTGACTTCGGATTTGATGCATTTAATGTCACAATGTGCCCTCTGCTGATACTTACTGGTAACTTTTCATGTTCTAGGAACTGTGGTCAAAGCGGAGAACTGCAGAATTCAGCGTTTTGCCAAGGGCCTGCGTGTAGACCCTGACGCTGCATGAAGGCAGAATGAAAATGCTCCCGGGCGTGGGTGTTTTTGGGACTGGCAGCGCTGCCCGGGTGCTGGTCCCCTTGCTGAGAGCAGAAGGCTTCTCCATCGAGGCGCTCTGGGGGAAGACCGAGGAGGAAGCCAAGCAGCTGGCTGAGGAAATGAACATCTCCTTCTACACGAGCCGCACTGACGATGTCTTGCTGCACCAGGACGTGGATCTGGTTTGCATCAACATCCCTCCACCGCTAACTCGGCAGATTGCTGTGAAAGCTCTAGGTACCTCCTTATCTTTGGGGCTGACCCTCCGAATCCCTAGTTTTGGGACAGGTTGCAGTTGGAGCCTCTTATCCCTAGTTGTGCCAATGTGCACGTGCAGCGCTAAGGGCTGTTTGGTTTGGGATCGGCAGAGCCGTCTGCAGGAAATGTTACCTGGCATTTCTTGCAAAAATACTATTTACAGCTAAAATGCTATTTATAAGCCCTGTGTCCTTTTCAGATTGTAATTATGGCGTGGAGATCGTGAGAAAAGTGATTGAGCCAATTCAGAGAAGATGATAGCGGAGGGGGTTTTTGTGCCCATTTGAAAAAAATCTTGCTTGCTTCATTTCACACCTCCCTGCACTCCAGAATAGGAACCTGAAACTTCCCTTGGAGCTGAAGCAGGGTCTTTTTTTTCAGCCCTGCTGCTAATTTTCCCCTCAAGTCAGGCCACCTTCGAAAATGACAGATATTGGAGGAAAATGTTTGCATCTACTTTAGGAGTGAGTCTTTTTAACACGTTGTAGTGTTAATGCTCCTCTCGCATAGCACAGCGCTGGCGTGACTGTGTTATTCTCTACGTAACAAGTGGGATATTTTTATTGTGTTTGCAGCAGACACCCATGAATTAATTTTAGGTGGGAGAAATACATTAAACCGTGTGAGCCAAGGTGATTTGTTCTTAAGCTCTTTGGTCTGCAGTAATTTGTTTTGGAAGTAAATAACACCTCCCAGAAAGCTTTGAAATGCCACTTGGATATGCATAGAGATATTGCAGGCTTTGTCATCTTTTACATTAATTCATTTGCTCTTTTGTTTACATTCTTAGACTTTTGGTCTAAGAAATTCTGTTTCTGCTCCCTCCCCTCCACCCCACACACAATATTTGACTGTAAGTCAGTCTCTCTCTTAAATACTGAAAATTCTCTTAAACACTCGTTAGGCAATAAGCATTTCAGTAGCTCTTGCAGCTTGGATGGCCACGTGTGAAATGGGCTAAAAGGGAGACTTGAAGCTCCTATGAATTAATAATTGAAAGATGAATTTGGGTTCTTTCCTCCAAGCCTGGGGCCCAACAGAGGAAGCAAGGGAGTCAAAACTGGTTGAGGCTTCCAGAGCTGCTGTGCAAAGCAGTGGAGCTATTTTGAACCCAGTAGGAGGCTGCTCCTCTCTTTCAGCTTGCTGGATTTGTCAAAATGATATTGAGAGACTTGCTGCCAAATATGCCATGACATATTTTAAGCACAGTGTTGGATAGCTCGTATGATTTGGCGTTTTGGAACAACACAAAAAAACAGAATAGGGCCAAGTATGTCTAGGGAGGAAAAATGGGGTTGAAATAGTGATATTTGTTTTTGAAGAGTCTTGCAGGGAACTGCATATGATACTAGACTGATGTTTTAGTAGCTGAGATATGGGGATTTAGGAAATATCAAAGTGGTGCAATGAATGTATCTGTCATATCATACACTTACAATTTATTGCTGGCAAAAAGGAGAGAGTTTTCTATTTATTTGCATTAAATTTCTCACTGATTGGCATCCAGAAAGAACTACAGGTGCAATCCTGGCCTGACAGGAGCAAAATAAAAACACTAGATTGAATTCATGAACCAGGCAGAACAGATCAAAGCCTAGAGAATAACTCAAATTAAGACACTGTAGTCTTGTGGTTTGTGTCCAGAGCAGGTGAAGCAAGGAGCTGTCTGCAATTTGTGCTGCTTTTGATCTCAGTGGAACTAAATGTCATTTTGTGCTGCATGTCCCAGTTTAAATGTGTTCTCCCCTCTGTTAAATGATAATGGTAACACTGATAGCCATGCAGAGGCCAGCCTTTAAATGGATAGTTTGTGGAAGGGCTACAAAGGAAGCCTTTTACTTGGCATGTTTTGAATCACGCAGGTTGATTACATAGTTTGAGAATGACAAATCCTTGCAGAAAGCATCGTTTGGACCTTTGATATTGTAGAGTCACTGCAGATTATAGCACGTACCTGCTGATCACGTAGGCTAGAATGAGGAAGAGCCGTATCGCCGCTCTGCATGGTGACAAGTGCAGGTCTCCTGTCCTGGAACGGGCCAAACGAGCACCCTGGGAGCCCTCTTTGCACACCCTCCTTCCCAGCTCTGCGGCAAACAGCGTGGAGGGCTCTCCCAGGCCTAGGCAAACCAGAAATGAAATGAAAGAGCAGTTTGAAATGAGCTGTCATCCACTGGGAGGCTTCCAAAGTAAGCAGGGCTGAAGCTAAGCTGGTTATTTTAGGAAGACTCCTCCGTCACTCCCAAATTCTTATGATGGGCAAAGCAATAATCTAGTGTGCTTTAGTAATGGCCAGTTCTGCCTCTTCCTAGGTTAAACATCAGTTTGTTTAAAGAGTCTGGGTTTTCTCTCTCTGCTTTCTACTATGTGGGTGATTGGTACCTACCAATGCAGGTTCTGTGTTTTACTGAGTGATTTTTTTTTGTCATTTGGTTGGTTTTTGGCCTTAGCCCCAGTTTGTTAGCTCATTCTTGTATCTTACTTGGGACTGTGTTCAAGCCAGGCCTTCAAAATATGGGTTGCCCTGTTTTTTTCCAGTGCAGGTGGCCCTGGTCCCCAGGAGAAGCGGACAAGTGGTGCCACCTTCCTCAGTTTCAGTAAGCACTAAGGCTACACAGGACCACTTTCCCTTTAATACCTGGCTCTACTCTTCCTGAGTCCTACACACCTCCAAAAGCATCAGCATTTGAAGAAGATCTTGTTGATGGCTTTTCACTTGTTCCCCCTCTAATGAAAGTGCCAGCACTCGCTGCTGGGTCTTGCCCATCTTGGCAGCAGGAACTGGGTGCAGGAGAGTCAGAAATGGTCCCTGAACGGGTGGCCGGGGGTAGCCAGGGGTACCTGGCAGGCAGCAAGATAGCAGGGAGCACGGCTGAGCTCCTGGAGGCTCCAGGCAGCGTGACCTGTTCACAAAAACTCCTTTGGAAAATAGTGCAGAAAACTCACAAAATGTGAGCTTTATTGTTCTGGTGCTCTTGGGGTAAGGACTGTTGATACTCAAAGCGTTGCTAGCAGTGACGATGGTGGAGTCCGGGCACACTCCTGCCTGGCTTTTGATTTTTGCCTCTTGGAAACACATGCTTAGAAGTGGCTTTAGCTCCACCTGTTCCCAGGCTGAGTCGGGCCTCGATTTGTTGTGAGAGCTCCTTTTTTTTCCCATTTTATCCTGCTCCCCAGCAGCTGGACCCTTCTGAGGGTTCCACGAACCCCTTCCCTGGTCCGGCCAGGAGGTGGAGCGTTGGATGCAGGAACTGCAGCAGTGCGGGATTCAGCTTCCCAGCTGATGTAAGAGCCCAATTCAAATGGTGATGCAGTTCTCCCTCCGTTGGTGAGTCGATTAAAAACCAAGGCAGTCTCGAGAAAGGAGTGTGGCCCATGTGAGGAGTAGCTTTCAGAGAGGGGCCTGCTGCCATACGCTGTGTTTCTTGCATCTCTTAGGCAGAAAATGTAGCACGGAGAAGCTGATCTTCAAGTCTGACATCAGCAGTTCAACCTGGAGACTTCAGATGCGTCTCGGGTTATTATAAAGTGCCTCTAAGTACTTTATCAAAACAGGCATGTATGGAAGAGTAAAACTATGCCATAAAGCAGCAAGAAAAAGGTGAGGATGGGGAAGGGAGAAGGAATCCCAGTGGAGCCTGGGATGGAGAATTCAGGTTGGAGCTTGCCCTGAGATGCTGTCTTGTGTCACTTGGTTTCCACCTAGAAAAAGCAGGAATTTATTGACCATCGATATTGATTCAGGCCAGGAGCCAGGTGGGCACATTGCTAGCAATAAGACTTCAGGTGGGTCAGGTTGTAAATGCACTTCTCACCTATCCAACACCTAGGGTTCCCCTTTTGTCTAATTCTACAAGCAGAAGTCATCCCCACTGCTACAGTTGTCCTAGAGCTACACCCCAAAATGTCTTGCTTTTTGGTTAGCTGTGGTGTTGAAGCAATCCACTTACCAAAACCATTATTTCTAATTCTTGGCTTCTTTACACAGGTCCCTAAATATCTTGTCTCCTATTTCTATTGATTTATTTAAACAAGACATTCATAAGGAGAGTAAAATTAAAAGGTTGTAATCAAATATCCCCTTCAGTCGCCTTTTCTCTGCAGAGCACTGATTGCCATCATGATCTTCCTTCTCTGCTCTTAGTCTTGTTTTGTTGCTTTTTAACTCATTTCACCCAAATTTTACAGCAAAAGGGAGATTTCTTAAAAAATGAAGTTTTCCTTGAAAAGGAAAGTTGGCATCTGGGAATACGCGGAGGAGCAGAGGAAGCAGAGGGTGGTGCTGCTGGGTTCCCCTGAGGAGAGTTTAAAGCAGTTACTCAGTCTTGAGGATTTGGGAAGCCCAGGGTAGATGGCATTTATTTTAGTGGGACTGTTTCACTTTGAAACATCCTTCTAAACAAAATACCCTCCGACCTGCTACCTTTATTTGGAAAGAAGGGAATTAAAGTGGAACGGCTGAGCTGTCCTACCAGATGGCCATCACTGTAGCATCTTGTCCCAATCTTAAAAACGCTCTTTCTTCAGAGCCTTCCTGTTGGAGTGTGTTGGCTCTGCAACCGGAGCATCTTGGAAGCAGCTTTGAGCCTCACTGCACACTCAGTGTTCCCATTTCATTTCCTAAACCTTTGGAATTGCAGCAGGAAAGCTGGGCTTTTAGAAAATGTTACTTCATGGCAACCTTGGGAGCATCGGAGCGTGTCCGTCTCCCACACGAGCAGTAACGAGTCTCTGTTTTACCCTGCAGGAATAGGAAAGAACGTGATCTGCGAGAAAGCCGCTACCTCTGTGGACGCCTTCCGGATGGTCACAGCCGCCAGGTATTACCCCAAGCTGATGAGCATCGTTGGCAACGTCCTGCGCTTCCTGCCCGCCTTTGTGAAGATGAAGCAGCTCATAGAGGAGCACTACGTGGGCAACGTGATGATGTGCGACGTGCGCGTGTACGGCGGGAGCCTGCTCAGCCACCAGTACACCTGGATCTGCGACGAGCTCATGGGAGGCGGCGGCCTGCACACGATGGGCACCTACATCATCGACCTCCTCACCCACCTCACCGGCCGCAGAGCCGAGAAAGTCCACGGCTTGCTCAAGACTTTCGTGAAGCAGAACACGGCCATCAGCGGCATCCGCCACGTCACCAGCGATGACTTCTGCTTCTTCCAGATGCTGATGAGCGAGGGCGTCTGCTGCACTGTGACTCTCAACTTCAACATGCCCGGGTCGTTCACCCATGAAGTCATGGTGGTCGGCTCCGCCGGCCGCCTTATAGCCCGGGGCACGGACCTGTACGGGCAGAAGAACACGGTGCTGCAGGAAGAACGACTGTTCACGGATTCTCTGACTGTCAACAAAGGCCTTTTGGAAAAGGGGTTTAAAGACATCCCGCTGCTCTACCTAAAAGGAATGGTGTACATGGTGCAAGCCTTGAGACAGTCTTTCCAAGACCAGGAGGATCGCCGGACATGGGATCATAAACCCGTTTCTATGGCGGCTTCTTTTGAAGATGGCCTCTACATGCAAAGCGTTGTAGAGGCCATCAAGAAGTCCAGCCGGTCGGGGGAGTGGGAGGCCGTGGAGGTGATGACTGAGGAACCAGACGCCAATCAAAACCTTTGCGAGGCGCTGCAGAGAAATAACTTGTGAACGGTCCCGTCTTGGGTGATGGGACCATTATCATTTCTGGCTGCAACCGTAAAAATCTCTATTTTTAAGATATGTCAATTCTTATTTAATATGCTGAGTCTCTTGAGTTTTTTGTTTTTTATGTGTCTAAAATATGTCATGTCCTGATAGCAACTCTTCTAATTGAAAATTCTTTGAAGAGTTTTTAAATGTTTCCGTTTTTCCAAGTGTTTCTTTTTTGTTTGTTTGTTTTGTTTTTTTTTGTTCTTGGAGACTGTTAAGAAAACTTGAATTGCCCTTTGCACTTGCAGCAGCTCAACTGAAGCATGGGATCTCTGCCCTTGCGTGGCTTAGGAATGGGGTGCAATCCCACGTGCGCCGGTCACTTATTTTAACCGTTTTAGCCTAAAAGCAAGTAGAGCAGGATCAGGGAGCATCTATTGCTGGGGTGCCTTTGCCTTCTCTCCTGGGGACTGACTTATCTCTACGGCTCAGTTTGTAAAGGAAATTTTATAAAGAAAAAAAAGTGTGATGGTGCAACTGATCTCTCAACTCCCGTAGTATGAAGAACAGAAGAAACGGGGTACAGCTGTGAAACAGTGTTAAAAGCCTTTCAAATTCATGCAATCTGCTTCTTTCTTTAAAGGATGCTCTGGGTTGAGTGTCTCTGTGGGTCCGGAGGGCCTCGTGGTTTGTGCTCGCTCTCCGTGGCCCCAGGTGTTATTCCTTGGACGCGAGAGGCCGGTTGCATCCAGCAGCTTTTTCTTCTCCCGTGAGTTCTGCACCCACCGGTTGTGTTTACTGCCTGGCAGCCTCAATGCCACGACTGTATCGCTCTAGTTCTCATTTCTGTGACCATTAATAATGGCCTCGTGGTGTCGCAGGTGGCATGCAAGAGCTTCACCATGTTGTCATTAATTAAGCTGTAAAAACATTAATTGTCTAGAAATCTGAAGGTGGAAGCGAGGGTGTTTCCTACCTCTCTGAGCTCCCGTGGGCTGGCTGAGGAATAACCACACTACACACGTCCTGATAGCTAAAGACTGGGGACTGACCCGTTCTGGGCAAGTTTGTTCTGGATCTCAAACACTGGATCTTTATCTTCTCGTGCCCTCTTCCAGGGTGTATCCAGTGGAACCATCTGGCACATTGTGAGCAGAAGCTCATTCCGTTTGAGAAATGTCTCTCTCTTAGGCAGTTGCTCAGAAAGGAGAATCCCATTTTACTACATTTATTTTGTGTACTTGAAAGTTTTTAAAATGTATTTCCCACTAAATTGTAACCTTGTGTATTTATGTACATTGTGACACGCAAACAGCTTTTTCATAAGCTGGTCCTTCCTGAAGAGCATCTGACTTGTTTTCTACAGAAATAAAAAGTTGTGTTTGTTGAGGGCATTATTTATGCAGCTCTTTGCTTGTGTGTTTGATTTGGACCAGCTCAGAGCGCCCTAAGAAGCGTGACCAGAAGGTCACCCTGCTCGGCTAGCGCAGCGCTCTGCCGTAGCAGGTGTTTTATGGCAGCAAAGAGGATTCTGTCTGTTCATTGCAACTTCACGTGTTTGGGGCTACCTGCCTGCCAAGTCCTCCTTCCTTTCCATGCCCTGTGCAAAACAAGGAGATGCTTTTGTAGTGCCCAGCAAAGGTACCGCGCACCTGCGTATCGCCAATGGAAACAATGCCAAGCAAAGTCTGTTGCCCACATCTTTGTTGTTTTCTTCCTACCAACTTTTGGGATTAATGGTCTATATTTTCTGTCTACCGTTGTGCAAAAATTCCTAGAAGGAGCAACCCAAGAGGCCAGCCCTGCTGGCGTGATGGGCCTGGCTTCAGGTAACTCTCTGCTTTCCACTCTGTCAGCACCAAGTCTCCTGCCATGCTGCTGCGGAGGGCAGCGCAGTGGCTGGTCCAGCGCTCCGAGCAATCCCATCCTTGCTCTAGGCTGCACAGAGAAAGCGAAGTGTTAAAATGGGTTGGTTATTCCCAACTCCGACAGGTGGAGTAGGGGAAGAGCCACGTCTCTCTGCAGGTCTCTTTGCTGAGGATGGACTTTCTGCCACGGCTCTGAGCAGCAGCCCTCTCTGCTGCGTGTGCGCTACGTGGATGGAGCAGGTGAGCTGGCATCTCCTGAGCTTCCCTGGAACAGCCGCTCCCTCCAGCCGGAGAGCAGAGGCTGCCGTTTGGCCTGGGCAGGGAGAGGAGGAGGAGGAGGAAGAGGAGGAGGAGGACGACGCTTCCCCGCTGGTGGCAGTGTCCAGGTGCCCAGCATTGGGATGGCAGCCAAGGAACGCACGGGTGAACCCTCATCCTGCAGAGAGCCCCCACGTGGCCCCTGTTCGACCAATGCATTTCATAAAGAAAAAACGCTCTTTTCAGTCAAATCATTCTCTTTGTTTATAAAAAGGGAGGTGGGAGAAGATGTGTGTATGAGTGATGCTGTGACCACAGCCCTGCAGGCCAGGCAGATGAGCACAGCTGTGTGATTACTTATGCTGAGGGGAGAGGGGAGGCACGAGGTGGGCTGCACACACACTGAGCATCTTCTCGACATCAACCTGGGTGGATCTGTCATCTGGTGCTGCTGGAGAGCTGCTGGCCCAGCTGCCTGCAAGGGAACGGAGCACCTCAGCCATCGGGCACCGTCCCCCAAAAGCCAGGGACACCTGGTGCAGCCAGAGCAGGATGCCAGCGGCGGCGCGGATGGGACCCTGGCATCTCTTGCCCATCCTCTTACGCAGGTTGGTCATGGTTTTGTCTTGCTGGGTGTTGAAAACTATCGACCCTGGAGACTATGGAGCCAAGTGAATGGTGCCACGTTGGTGGGAGAGGTCCTGTCTGTTTGGTTGTGCTACTGTGGAGCAACAACAGGAGACCAAATGAAAGAGATTTTTCTATTAAAAAGTCTCTTTTCACCTACCTGTGGCCAAGAATTTAAAGTAACATTTCAAAGATAGAAAATAGCTGTGAGGTGCAAATCGCTAATAATCGGGATCTACCTTGGGAATTGCAGATAAGAGTTCAGACAGGAAGGTAGCCGGGAGCTATGGTTAAAGCAGAACTGTGCTCCATTTTCCCTCAGACTTTGAGATTTCCACATCTGTAGCTAAAAGCTTAGAAATTACTAATCTTTTTCATTTTTAGAGCAACCTTTGCTTGCTTTAACTGTTATTGCTGCATTTTTCCCACACTGACTGAGAGGAGGTTGAAGGGGGGTGACCCCGAGGGGCTCCAACCGCCCATCCCGTTTGCTTTACCTCCCTGGAGCTCCAGAGCCGTGGCCCTTCCCGGGGCTCCGGTGAGCGGCTCCGCCGGCCCGGCTGCCTCAGCCTGCTCCTCCGCTGGGCCGCTCGGCTCCGGGCTCTCCGAGTTGATGTACTGGTACAAGGGGCGCAGGCGCTGCAGGCGTCCTGCGCGGGCACGGGAAGAGCGCGACCCTCGCAGCCCCTTCCCTGCCGGCGCTTTGCTCCGTCTCGGCCCGCAGGCCGCTGTCATCCCGAGGTGACTCACTCGGAACGACTAAAACAGATGCCAGCCCTCGCGGGCACCGCGGCGAGCCCTGCCAGGCCAGCCGGCGCGGCTGCAGAACCCCCTGCACTCACCCAGCGCGTCCAGGGCAGCCCCTCCGGAGCCGCCTGGACCAGATGACCGGCTGCTCCTGTTTTTCCTCCTCTTCCTTTTCTTCTGCTGCGTGGCAGAGAGGCCAGAATTGCCTCTGAGGGCATCTGTCTCTTCAGCTTTGGGATGCAGCTTCTGGAAATCAGTGTGCTGGAAGACGAGTACTTGCGAATCGACCCTGCAGGACCGAAAGCAGCAGCTCGGAGCTGCTGCAGCTGCAGCCCAGCACTGGGCTGCGGGGAACAAGCCAAGGTGCGAGACACCTCGGTGGGACTTGGGGGCTGCGTTTAAGCTCGGATGTCACCCCTCGTGCCTGTGCTCTGCCCGTTCCTCCCCTTGCCTTGCTGCCTTCACTCCTTGGCTTGCTCTTGGACTTGGTCGGCTAGACCCTGCTTCCCTTTCGACTATTGACCCCACATCCCCTTGGGCTTCGCCCTTTATGCACTTAACTCCAGATGATCTTCTCTTTTGAATGCTAAGCGGTTCCTAAAATTGCTGTGAACTGAGTTCCCTAAATCTCCAACAGCAAAAAATAAAAACCAAAGCTGAAAAATGGCACTAAGCTGCAAATCCTTGACGATAATATATTGAGTGCTACGCTCATCCTCTGCCTTCCTCCTACCCTGTTTCACCCTCGTGCATGCCAAGCGCAGCCAGGGCAGATTCGGGCCTCGCTGGTGGCTGTTCCCAGCGCAGCGGGTCCGAGTTTCGTTGCAAGGTAACATTGGCTTGCAAAGGTGACGCGGTGACTTACGTTGCTTCCCTGGGTTGGAAGCCGTGGGCCAGCAGCCAGACCTGCAGCACTGAGGCAGATCTGAGATCCTTCAGCTCGGGGAGGAGCTCCTTGTTCTTCTGCATCTCCTCCTCGTAGCGCTCGGCATGGACAACAACGCCTCGCCCGTGCTCGTCCCACTGCGGCAGGAGGACATCGCTGACAAATGACCCCCCAGTTGTGCCCAGCACCCTCTCAGGCCCTGGCATGGTCTTTGCTGACCCTGTCACTGTGACTTGAACCTTCTGCCAGTGCTTAATAACCATCCTGATTTGGGGATTTACACCCATTGTGGCCATGAGGTCTTGGAGATGATCCCAGCTAGACCATGGATGGGAGCAAGCCCACGTTCCTGCCATGGTTTTCCACGCTTGGTGAGAATGGCAGCGCCCGTGCGTATTTCCCTGTGGGAATGAGGACACCCCTTCCTTGGGCTGTTGGCTGCAACCCTGTCCCTCCAGCAGCCGCAGGAGGCATTGCCTGCAGTGCCACTGCGAGGCCTCGTGCAGTGGCTGCTGTGCTACCATGACGTGAAGGCGTGACCAAACTGGGCTTGAAATTATTCAGCTGGCATTTCACAAGTATAATTGGAATATCACAGATAAATACTTTGGATCAGCTGCTCTTAGCTTCAGAAAGGCTTAGCAGGGATGTGGTACTTTGTGTAGGATTTTCTTCCTTTT